TTTGTCATTAATACAGATTTTTTTTTCACTACCCCTTTTGATTTTTTTTCCTTTAAAATAAACCCATTGCCATGAAGGAAACCCAAACTCTTTTTCAATACAAACTTTTAATTGCTTTCAAAATTGCACAGTTTTTACCTATTGTTTTAAAATTCAGGAACATATTATAAATGAGTGCAGAAAAAGTAACCATTGAGTTGAATCCAGGGAATGATAGAGGGTAATCAGCTGCACCCAGCAGCGTGCTGTTTGACTTTAGTAGTCATTATATGCTTCGGAATTCTGTGTTTCCTGCAGGCTGGCAGTCAAGCACTTTTTCAATTGCATCAAAAGGACCTGCTCCAGTTTTCACTGAGATCAATGGAAAGACTCCCATTGTCAGATCAGGCTCACTTTCTATTCTCATGCATATCTGGGTTGTTTGCAGTCAGTGTCCCGAGCTTGTAATCAAGGCCCAGGGTTTTATTTATCACTCTTCAATTAATATAGGAAATTATTATAGTCAAATTCACCTACCAATCGTTAAGAAATTGAGAATTAAATTAGACAATAAATGAACTCAGAAATGGAATGCAAACAAGCACAAAAGCAATGGGAAGCATGAACTTGTGCCTGCAAGAGGAACTTATTCACGGCTTTCCCCTTCTCAAACAGTGACCAGACAATGCTTTTCGATCCTTACCTGGAGGAGCCAAGATCTTCACTCGTTGTGCAGATTCCATACCTGAGCGTTTACCTGGGTTACCACCAGTGGTGCCAATTAATGCAAACGTAATGGGGGTTTTTAATGTCATTTGGTTTTAATTGTCAGTGACAGTTGTCATGATGATCTCTGGAACATGGCCAGTTGTCTGCTAGGAACTGGACTGAAAATGCCCACTCACTTCACATAGGTCACTGAACAGCCACCTGACGGTAACTGATTCGAGCAATCCTTTAGCCCTGTAGCACTGAAGTACAAAATGCTAGAAGTCTGCAGGAAGAAAAAATGGTTCCTGCCTTTTTCAATCGTTATTTTCCTGTAATGGCATTAGGATGTTACACCAGAGCTTCCACAGAAACTGATAAAATACTGCCTTAAATATTGTCTGACTACAAACAGTGACTTCGAAACAGCCCTCGCTTCCTGATCTAGTTGGAGGCTCACAGAGATCAGAGAAGAGGCAGCATGACTCCAGGTTTCTAAAAGCACAACTTCCTCTGCAGTTGTTTCAGATCTTGGGTTTTGGAAGTAAACATTTTGCTGGCCAAAGCCTCGTATTCACTCCGTGCAGAACAGCTGCATGTGTTTTGTTTTGTTTTGTTTGTTTGTTTGTTTCTTAAAGGGAATTTTAAAAAGAAATACACAAAGGGAAGGGAGGCCCACGGAGGAGATGAGGGGAAGGAGAGGAGTGAGTAGTGTTTAAAAATAAAAATAGAATAAATGAACAGGCTCCTTCACTCCAGATAGGTGCACCATATTGAGCTCAAAACCCATTTTGGCCCCCATATGCTGTTGCAGTGTCAGGCCATAAAAGCCCCATAGCCAACCAGAGAATTCCCCTGGCAGAGACATTGTGAAGACAGCAAAATGAATGCCCCATAAAGGCCAGTGTAGGGGGTAGGTCAGGGTCTGCAGATGGTGGGGGTGGGGAAGGTGCTGTGTACTACAGAGGTTCTCAGCAGATTGGGTTGAGTGCCTAAATTACTTTGGGAGCCATTTCAGCTCCTGAAGCAGCCCAGGATTAGGAGGGTGCAAAATGACTTTTAAGCCACTTACCTCCCCAGTCCCCCAACTCCTTCCACCCAATTGCAAAGTTTATATTGTGTCTCTACAAGGTGCAGCACAGAATCGCTCCCTGTGTTTCTACACTGCCAAGGCGCCAAGAGGGTCTCCACTGATGGCCTCTTATTTGAGCCCTCATGATGCCAAGTGTAGCAGCCTGTCTGGGTTGGGGATAACTGGGCCACGCTTTCCCACAGAGCCTGGGAAAGCCTCTCCTGAAATCCTCCAGCAGAGGGTGTGGAAGAGCCATTTACAGCCGTTCATTTACCTGTCGTGTGTGGGGGTGTGCGCCAAGCTGCTTCCACAGTCTTCCTGGCCCCTGCTGGGTTGCGGGAGCCAAACCTGGCAGTCTCCATGAGTGGCAGGTAGTTGTGCCAGTGAAAACAGAGGCAGTCACGGTGCTGAGGACCCAGAAGGAAAACAGCATTGCCAAATGTTCCCTTCGTGTTCAGGGCCTGATCTGGTGAGGTTCTTGAGCCATGTAATAAGGAGTTCAGGGCACTCAGCAGAATCTTGCATGATTGGGCTCGACACCATCAGTTTCACTGCTGATTAAATTTTTGCTCCCTTTTATTGGGGGAATGCTTAACTGGCTGGACTGTATCAGAACCCTGAAGCAGGCTCTGTTAGTGCTATATGCAGCGGCCCTAGGAGCTGCCAGTGGGGAAGGAGCATTCCTTTGGCAGGGAGGTAATAGTGGACAGTTGATATTTGTGGGCTGGAGGAAGGCAGCCATCCACAGCCTCATTGGGTTCCCTCCGTGTGTGTCCAGGCAGGCCGAGGAAGATGTTTTTGTATGTCTCTTTGGCCAGAGGAAAGGGCTGGAGAGTAGCCACTCACCACGGCGTAGCTGGAGAAGCCTTGGGAAAATGAGCACCTTGACATAAAAGGTGAGCTGCTGGTTTACTCTGATCTGGCCACAGTTTGCGCAGCGGTTTTCTTCCCCTCTCTGACTGGTGCAATGGATCATCTCTCCTCCTGTGCTTTCATGGTGGCATGTGAAGGAATGTGTGGATTTGGGACTCTCAAAGTTAAAAACAGCCCGGGGGCAGGCCTGGTGGTTAGTACTTTGCACTGCCAAGCAGGAGACGTTGGCTGCCACTCCTAGCTTAGGCGTCTCATTTTCTGGGCTGCTAAGTGTTGAGCCCAGTGAGTGCCTGGAAGAGCTCCTGAGTCCGAACTAACCCTTCTTGGGCAATGATGATGGCTGCAACATCAGGAATTAGAAGGTGAAGGGCAGAGTTAAAGCTGCACAGGGCAGAGTCATGCATGCACACGTGGAGGGCAAGGATCAGCGTGGGAAAGGAAACTGCTGATATAAATATGAACATACAGCACTTAGAGACTGCCAGAAGTGTTTAATTTGTTCCCAGGTAGGCTCTGAGGATCAGAAGAGTCAAACTCCCAGCATACCAGAGAGATCGACAGGGAGGTGCAGAAATTGGCAGCCCTTTTTGAAAACAAAGATTGCTCAGGAGTCTCTGGACAGGCTGGCCTGGAAATGAAGTATATTAAAATGGATGTGCTTAAGCTCCGAGAAACTTGCCTCATATTGCTATAAAAAGCCTTCTAGCCTGACTGTTATTTGAGTCTTTTTTTTCTTCTCTGTAATGTTACATAACGTTTGTTTGGTTGGAGGCCTGGCGTAGGAGAAGACTAAATAGCTGGTTTACTAGATGTGGTTCATGCAATGGCTTGCACATGTAAAACTTGCCAATTTCTTCTCACTTAGAGCCAGGCTCTGTCTTCTGTTGTCTTGCTGTTTGAGCCGGATTGCCCCTAGAATTAAGAGAGTTGAAGTAATATTTGACATCTCTCCAGGGCTTGCTCATGTTGTGGAAGTTCAGAAGTTTTTGTAAATCTCTGCATGTGACTCCAGGGATGGGGAGGGATGAATCAGACATTTAAAAAATCTTTAAGTCTGCCAAGGAACGGTCTGCTGAGAAGAGGATGTAGGAAACTAATAGAATGACATCAAGAGGCCAGAGGTGAAAAAACAAACCAAAATATGATTTTTCTAAGCCAATGACCCGCCCGCCCCGTGCCGCCTTCCCAGACTCATTGCTCTACAACATTTAAAAATAGGGTTTGGTATTTCTCCCCTCACCATGATACAAATAAAGTAAACGAGAATACCCTACATTCTCCATCACCCGTATACCTATAGAGAAAGCTGACCATGTACAAGTTTCCTTGCTGTAGAACTCTGCCAGCAGGGCCCCTGAGGATGTTTGCAGATGTTCCTGCTTTTGCAAGCCAATGGGAACTTTATGGCCGGAGTTCTCCCTCCACCTCCTAGCAGCAAATGTCAGGCTGGCAAAAGCACTCATCTGGCAACAGGTTTCTGGAGTGGCAAGCTAGGGTCTACCAGGTCAAGTGACACAGTGGATCATTTGCTGACACGCTGCTGTGCCAATGTCCTGCTATGTAGTGCTGTGTGCGACAGCTTTGTTTCCTCCTTTTACTCCAGCTGCAGAACAAAGGGGGTCAAGCGCATGTGTAATTTCCTCAGTTGCCAGCAGGGCTAGGTCTAGTGGTGGTTCTGCCCTGGGCAAGCAAGCAAATGTCTGCCTTTCCCAGCCAGCAGTGTCACATGCACACAATTATTGAATGTCCTATTGCCCCTGTTATTTTGTTGCCTTAGGCACTTGCCTGCTTTAATTGTATGATACAGCTGGCCCTGGTTACTAGTGGTCACTGTGCGTTCCCCACCACTAATTTGTACTGCTGTGTGCCCAAATCACTTGCCAGTCATTTAGGCATGCCTTGCTGCCATTGTCCTTATATTATTTATACTGCAATTATGTCCCAAAGTCTACATTAAACGGCGTGTGTCTAGTCTGTCTGCCTCTGTCTGATATTGTTCTGCTTCCATCACTGTAGTATCTAAGCACAGCAGTGTCTTGAAACCTTTTTTATCATCACGCTTGAAACAAAAGCATTGGTCCCATCACCCATGAGTGATGAGCTCCTCTTCTTTTTGCTTTTGAACACATGCAAGTGAGTCCTAGTGTCCAACCTGCGGTCGCCGTCTTCATCCATATCCTTGTGAGCTGGAACAGCTCTCAAGGCTCAAAAGTATTTGCTGGTGTTGGTTATTTGGCGAGACCATTGAGAAACTGGGTGGTGGGATTTTCCTTCAGAGCTAACCCCACAGGAGTAACTTTGGAGGTGATTACGTTGTTTAATGTGTTCTCTTTGAGCCACTCATTCTTTTGTTGCCTTTCTTCCCTAGATCCCAAAACAGCCTCTGAAACAGAAACGGACATCTGTGCTGAGTGGGAGATAAAGACTATCACCAGTGCACTGAAAACTTACTTGAGGTAGGGGAGAAACGCCTCCTGTGTTATATGTCTCCACAAGTGTGTTCTGTAGTGTCCTGGGGATAACCTCACCCACTACCCAAGTTTCTTGACAGGGGAGCGAGTTTAAAATAACTAAGGAAGAGACTGCTCTTAAAGAATCCACCTTGGCTTTTCCACTGAACCCCATGCACGCTTGGGCAGGACTTTGGGAGTTTACTGAATACTGTACAAATGCTAATGTGTAGGGTCTATTTTGGTCAATTTCACGGTCATAGGATTTAAAAAATCATAAATTTCATGATTTTAATCTGAAATTTCACGGCCTTGTAATTGTAGGGGTCCTGACCCAAAAAGGAGTTGGGGGGAGGGTCACAAGGTTATTGTAGGTGGGATTGCAGTACGGCTACCCTTACTTTTACGCTGCTGCTGCTGGCGGCGGCACTGCCTTCAGAGCTGGGCAGCTGGAGAGCGGTGGCTGCAGGCCGGGAGCCCAGCTCCGAAGGCAGAGCCGCTGCCAGCAGCAGTGCAGAAGTAAGCATGGCCTGGTATGGTATTGCCATCTTTTACTTCTGAGCTGCTGCCTGCAGAGCTGGACCATCAGACAGCAGCCGCCCCTCTCCGGCCACCCAGCTCTGAAGGCAGCGCAGAAATAAGGGTGGCAATACAGTTACCTCCCCTAAAATAACCGTGTGACCCCCCGCAACTCCCTTTTGGGTCAGGACCCCCAGTTTGATAAACACTGGTCTCCCCTGTGAAATCTGTATAGTATAGGGTAAAAGTACACAAAAGACCAGATTTCACGGGGGGAGACCAGATTTCACAGTCCGTGACGTGTTTTTCATGGCCCTACTCAGGTGGTACAGCCGTAACTTATAAAAGCTTATTCTTACGTATCTCACTGTTAAGTTTGTCTCTTGATTCAGGCTTTTCCCTGTAAGCGAAGACACAATGCAATCCAGTATGCTGCTGTCTAGCAAATCTGTTGTCCTGATGGCTTAGTGGAAGAAAGTTCAGTGTTAATTTGTTTTTCCAAAAGGACCATGAAAATTCATAAGGCTTTCTTTGATATCTAGGCATAGAACTGTACATGTGGGTACAGTCCAACCACACGAAAACTGATGCCATTGTTACAATTGGGTTATCTTCTATTATTGTATAAGTATGACATGTAACATCATTTACTGAAGCACTAGTTCAGAGAAAGAAAACTGATACTGTGGAGAGGAATGTTAGAGCCAACATCACACTATTTCCTTTGGTACCGCCTTAAAATTAATTTCTTCCTGTTAGTTATTTAGTAATAAAGATATGCAAGAATTTGTCAGTAATTAATAAACTACAAACTTCTAATTATGGGCCCCTTCTCATCTCTAACCTTCATTTTAATTGCATTGCATTATGCATTGACAGGTAATATTAGAGATGGGATGAGCTGTTCACAGACTGGTGGTTCCTAATCCAAAAAGAGGGCTACCCATTAGTTTGCAAGTAGCAATAGGTATTCTGTTATGCAGAACATGCTGCTACCTGCTACGTCCGTATTTTTAAAGCATAAGAAAATGAAACAAAATCCAACGTGGATGACAAATGTCGTTAGGTTGGTCGATCTCAGCCTGGAAGGTCACAAAGCCAGCACATAACTTTGCATGAATGGCAATCTTTGCTCCAGAGAGTTTCTGAACGGTTAGCACAGGAATAAGGTGAGAGTATGAGACACAGGACTGGAATAGTAGGTCATTTCACAGGTCAGGACTGAAGTGTATAGGCAAATTTGAGAGGAGCCCATGACTAAAATATCAGAGAAGCTGCAGGACAGGATTGCGATCCATTTTAAGATCTGCACAGAGAATTAGCACAGCACTACCATGTGCCAGGCGTAGCTTTAGCCAGTGCTCTTGGTCTCTCGTTTTCATCTGCACCAAAGTTTACACAAGCTTTCCTTCAAAATACATGTTAAGATTTCCAAGGCATGGGTGGATGTGGAAAATTCATTATGGAAATGATGATCGTTAGAATTTTAGTGCTGTTTTCGGTAACACATTTTAACATCGAGTCGCTTAGTATTTTGTTTATATATAATACAAGGTTTCGAGAATTTATAGGGAGGTTTGGCCTGTGTTATTTCTTTTATATATCTTGGTCATTCTGAAGTGGTAGTTGATTCAATTAAAGAGAGGAAAGGAAGACTAAAACAAAGCCCCCTCTGTATATTATGTTTTTTTCTGATGAGAGGAAACTAGTTAGGAAAGTTGGTATTGCTTAGCTGTGTCCTTTATGATTTAAGAATGGGTTTATGGGAACAGCAGACTCCAAGCTGCTTTTCAGTGATTCAGTGATTATTTTATTGCTCAATTGTATACGTTTTGCTATTCCTATTCCAGAATGCTCCCTGGACCACTCATGATGTACCAGTTTCAAAGAAGCTTCATCAAAGCAGCAAGTAAGTTTTTGTGCATGTGTGCTTGTCACAACCTTCTAAAGAGAAAAATTCCTTTGCAAACAACCAAATGTAACCCCAACGCCAGTACTGTCCCACTGAACTCCTGATGCAAGACAGATTTTGGTAAATGCTGTAAAACAAAATTGGAATTGAGATGCAAGGTGCATGTTGTTGGGTGTACTGTGTTTTTTTTTGTTTTTTTTTTAAGAGTCTAGATGCTGGTGGGTGGGAAGTGGGAGGAAAACATATTGGTACCACAGATGGGTTAATGGAGTTCTAATTAGTTGTATTTTTCAGTCCTAATGTCATGAAAGCATAGCTGTGTATGGGTGGAAGGGACCGTGAGATCATCTAATCCAGCCCGCTAGGCTGAGGCAGGGCCAAATAAACCTAGACCAACCCTGACAGGTGTTTGTCTAACCTGTTTTTAAAAACTCCACAACCTCCCTTGGAAGCCTGTTCCAATGCTCAACTATTCTGGTAGTTGAGAAAGATTTTCCCAATATTTAACCTAAATCTGCTTTCCTGCACATTAAGCCAATTACTTCTTGTCCTACCTTCAGTAGACACAGAGAACAGTTGATCACCATCCTCTTTATAACAGACCGTAACATATTTAAAGATGGTTATCGGGCTCCCCCTCAGTTTTAACCTTTCCTCACAAGTCTGGTTTTCTAAACCTTTTATCCTTGTTGTTTTTTTTTTTTTTTTTTTTGCCAGCCTCTGTACTCTTTCCAATTTGTCCGCATCTTTCCTAGTGTGGCACCCAGAACTGGACACAGTTCCAGCTGAGGCCTCACCAGTGACAAGGAGAGCAGAACAATTACCTCCCATGTCTTAAATATGACGCATTCCTGTTCATACACCGCAGAATATCTTTTTTTAGCAACAGCATCACATTGTTGATTCATATTCAATCTGTGACCCGCTATAACCCCAGATCCTTTTCAGCAGTACCTAGCTAGTTATATCCCCATTTTGTACTTGTGCATTGGATTTTCTTCTCCCTAAGTGCAGTGCTTTGCACTTGTATTTATTGAAATTCTTCTTGTTGATTTCCAACAAATTCTCCAATTTGTGAAGGTCATTTTGAATTCTAAGCCTCCAAAGCACTAGAAACCTCTCCCAGCTTGGTGTCATCTGCAAATTTTATAAACATGCTCTCCACTCCAAACTCCAAGCTATCCAAGTCATCAGTGAAAATATTGAATAGTACCAGACCCAGGACAAAGCCCTGCAGGTCCCCTTAGATATGCTCCACCAGCTCCCTCCCCGTTTGACTGCAAACCATTGATACTCTTTAAGTATGGTGACAAGTTTCAGAGTGGTAGCCGTGTTAGTCTGTATCAGCAAAAACAATGAGGAGTCCTTGTGGCACCTTAAAGACTAACACATTTTTTTGGGCATAAGCTTTCGTGGGCTAAAACCCACTTCATCAGATGCATGGAGTGGAAAATACAGTAGCAGGTGTATATATACACTCTACATGAAAAGATGGGAGTTGCCTTACCAAGTGGGAGGGTCAGTGCTAATGAGACAATTCAATTAACAGTAGAATACCAAGGGAGGAAAAATCACTTTTGTAGTGGTAATGAGAGTGGCTCATTTCAAACAGTTGACAAGAAGGTGTGAGTATCAGTAGGGGGAAATTAGTTTTTGTAATGACCTACCCACTCCCAGTCTTTATTCAGGCCTAATTTGATGGTGTCCAGTTTGCAAATTAATTCCAGTTCTGCAGTTTCTCGTTGGAGTCTGTTTTTGAAGGTTTTTTTGTTGAATTGCCACTTTTAAGTCTGTTATTGAGTGACCAGGGAGATTGAAGTGTTCTCCTACCGGTTTTTGAATGTTATAATTCCTGATGTCTGATTTGTGTCCATTTATTCTTTTGCATAGAGACTGTCCGGTTTGGCCAATGTACATGGCAGAGGGGCATTGCTGGCACATGATGGCATATATCACATTGGTAGATGTGCAGGTGAACGAGCCCCTGATGGTGTGGCTGATGTGGTTAGGTCCTATGATGGTGTCCCTTGAATAGATATGCAGACAGAGTAGGCACCAGGGTTTGTTGCAGGGTTTGGTTCCTGGGTTAGTGTTTTTGTTGTGTGGTGTGTAGTTACTACTGTATTTTCCACTCTATGGTCAGCCCCCAGGGCCACTGGAGCAGTGGCCGCCGCCTCCGGAGCAAAAGCTCGGGACCGGGTTAGCCCCCGAAGCTGGAGCAGGAGCAGCGGTCAGGGCCAGAGTAGCCCCTGGGACCAGTGGTCATCCACCGCCACAGGAGCGGTCAGCATCGCAGGAGGAGTGGCGAAGCTGGAGCAGTGGCCAGCGGTCAGCCTCCAGCAGGTTCCGACTGTTAGTCTTTCCTCCCCCTTCTGCCCCCTGGGGTAGTTTTAGTAAAAGTCACAGAGAGGTTGCGGGATTCTGTGAATTTTTGTTTATTGCCTGTGATCTGTCCATGACTTTTACTAAAATACCCCCATGACAAAATCTTAACCTTATTTATAACACTGATGTCTAGGGCCTCATGAACATAAGTTGTACCACTTTAATTATACTGGTATAATTAAAGCAGTACAATTCTAGTGTGGATGCAGCTATATCAGTATAAAAGTGCTTATACTGGTATAGCTGATTTCCACATAGCACCTTTGTATCAGTACAACTGTGCTCCCACTAGGGGTTGTATCACAATAGCTACTTCAGTTAAAAAAAAATCACAAATTCTAATCAAAATAGCTATCAGTACGAAATCTGTGTGTAGATCAGATTTACAAGTGACAGTAGCATTTATTAGGCAGTGCTTCTCCATTAATCTAATTCAATCTGTGCTATCTTCAGAAGTCTCTCTCTATCATCCTTTCTTCCACTGCTTTTCAGTAGTCCTACTGTTTTATCATTGAGGTTCATAGTTCTGATCAGCTGTTATGTAGCAGTTTGGTTCTAATTGCAGTGGAGATACAGCTTCATGAAATGAATCCCCCACTCATTTAAGCAGAGATAGTGACAAGTGGATGTTAGTCACTGAAGTCTCATTATAGAACACAGATGCATACCAAATTCCTACTACAGTTATGGGAAGGGTTGGTACAACCACCTACTGAGATTGCCTGTCACTTCCCATTTTTAGACCCTGTTTTCAGTTGCCTATAATTTTGTCACACTTAACAGTTTGAGCACAAATTTGCCATGAAGTGTGTACCTCGGGCTGATTTTTTTTGGAAAATTTCAGCTAAAATGGGTGCCGCATTTCTGAGAATGAGGCAAGGGAAAAATAAGGTGGTTTTTTTGCCTAGGCTAAAAAGTCCTGGTTACCTTTTCTTTCAAAAGCTCTAGTGCCACCATACTTTTTAGGAGGACTTGAAATTTGATAAGGGATGTCAGTCGGTGGCTTTTGTGTCAGGGATGTGACTTTTTGCTGTCCCCATGAAAATCTGCCCACATTTAGCCAAGTTGTAAGCCTTTCAAAAATTGTAGCTCGTACATGCTCTGTGGAGACTTTTTAGATTTTAGCCTCTAAATTCCCCAAAGATTCATCTGCTATAGGCATGCTCCACCCCCTCACCTCATAGGAGTGTAGCGAAAATAAGTTGACTAATATTTGAAAAGCACTCGGAAATGAAGTGATGAGTCTATAAAGAGAAAAGTCTATGAAGAAATGAGCAATTCTGTCTTCAGTACAAAGCGGGAATAGTGCTCAGTAAACAAGTCCTGGGGCCTCACATTGAACAATGAGGAGAAATCAAAATATTGAATAGCTGCTCATTAAGTGAGCACTGTCCATTCTGTGCATTGTATGAGGCATGGGCTCTGTTTGGTGTGTAATTATGGATTTAAGTTGCAGACCTTGGTAGATATGAAGCTGTTCAGTGCTGTTCTGAGGTATTGAATGGCGTTTGGGACCAGGAATCAGGACTCCAGTTCCCTTATTTCAACTCTGTCACTGACCTTGGGCAAATCACTCAAATTCTCCATGTTTCAGATTTACTTCTGTGAGGTTGGATGTTGCCTTCTAAACTCACAGGGCCATTGTGAGGTTAAGTTAATTGTTTGTAAAGAGTTTAGCATCCTTGAATCTCAAAACAAGAACCAGGTATGTAGCTGCTGATATTGCTAGTATTTCATTTGGTACGTTAATGTGCTGAACTGACTCCATTTGAACCTGCCCTTTCTAGAAGGGAAAGGGAGGATGAAATATCCAATGGAGGGCTTTTAACAAGATGGCTTCCAATGACTTTATCACCAAAGGTCTCATGCTATAAATGAAATGCAAATATTAAGATATTTCCACTTTTGTGAATGAAATAAGGATGACCAGTTGTCAAAACCTTTCTAGTTATCTGGCTAAAGTTACCCTTATGGAGATTGAACATTTATCATACAAGCACATTCAGTTGCTTTCTGTGTTGAAACAAGCCAAATGGTAGCCACTTGAATTACAATCAGCCTGTTCTCCGGTCGCAAGTGCCTTCGCTTTGCTTGGCATTTTGTCAACCTCCATCCTCAGTACTTTAGTTCACCCCCTTTGGTTTGCGTGTCCCTTTTTTTTAGAAACTCGTTTTCATCATGGGAGACTACGTGGGTAAAAAGAAACCTTAGAATTTTGAGGCCCCACAGTGCAGCTGAATAGAGAGATGATGCAAAACCAGGGCTTCAAGCTAGAACTGGTCAAGAAATTTTTCTACAGCTGTTTTTTGTTGGAAAATGTCAATTGCCACAACCAAAACTTCTCATGGAAATGTGCTAGATCTGATGAAGGTTTGATCAGGAAGGTTTCTCAAATCCAGAACCGAGGGGAGGGGAGGGGGGAAACAGAGACAGACGTTCCCCATCACCCCCCAGAATAGCCTGGTGTTTACAATGTGGAAGGCCCAGGTTCAAGTTCTTCCTTTGCCAATTTCACTCTCTCCTGTGGGAACTGTTCCGCTTAATATAAATAATTTAAATATTCCCCGTAGGATGGACTTAAACCTGAGTCACCTGCATCTCAGTTGAGTGCCCAGTCTGTCTGGTGCAACAAATATTTAATTATTTATCCCAAATGGAACAGGTCCAACAGGAGGGATTGAGAGACAGAGACTGACTCTGTAGCTCGGCTATTGGCCATTCTGATCTCTGAAATCTTGAAAATCTTCACGGGATTGGTGAACCATTTACTACCCAGCTGTATTCAAGACACCTACATTTCTGATTGAATCTCTGTCCTGATCTGGGTGGTTTTTATTAGTTTAAAAAAAAAAAAAAAAAAAAACAAAAAAGAAAAGAAAAAAATACTCATTTCCCAAAAAAAGAAACAAGAAAAAATAAAATAAAATAAAAAAAAAAAAAAAAAAAAAGCAGGTAGCAGATGGAATAGTTTCTTGTTTCCCAATGCAGAGCTGGAGAATCAAGAGTCCAGAATCTCAGAGATCCACAACCTTGTTCATCGGCTCCCAGAAAAAAACAGACAGATGCTGCAGATGCTCACGAACCACTTGGCAAAGTAAGTGTATGGCTTTGATATACTTTCTTTTTTCCACCATCCCTAAAAGTTAATAGTCCAAGAAAAATTTCTTATGTGTGTGGCGTCTTGAGTCAGATCTGACTGCATTACGGTAACTGAAAACCTATGTGTGAAAGAATCATTAATGCAAAGAAGGACATGGAGAAGATGCAGTAGGAAAGAAATCCTAACTTTCTGACTGCTGTATATGATCACTCCACATTTGTGGTGCTTCAGTCTACATTAACCACTTCATTGCTGTGTCGTTGTTTTAGATAGAATGCACGTGCTGTGCTGATGAAAATGTACCATTGCTTCCAATGGCAGGTTAATAAGTGATTGTTGTACTGGGGTTGCAATGGAGAGCCCATAGTAATGGGAGTTAAAAGCAAATCAAAATTGTAAGGAGATCAAAGTTATCACAGTGATATGGTAGACTACATCGCCACATCAAATATATTGTCCCTATGCAGCCTGATTCATCATACTGCCAGTGCTTAGGTCACTTTGAAACGTTTTGGGGCAGAGGGTTTGGTAAAGTTTTGATTTCAGTGATGGGGTGGCCTATAATCTGCCCTCATAATTGCCCTAGAGCTCATTGGTTAGTGTTTAAAGAAGTGAAAACACCACCCAGAGTGACCGAGCAGTTCACATGCCAGCTTCAGGGATAGGAGACCGTACCTGGCCATTCCTTCACCATGTATACAGGAAAGATTAGCAAGGAGTCGAGGAAACGTTGGAATGAGTTAAGCGGGTTGTAAATAAAAAATTGGGAAAGCATAAAGCTATCTATTAAAAAAAAAAAAAAACCACCAGATGCTTTCTTACGACCTTTGTGCCTGTTCTGTGGAACCAGAGCAAGGCTGTTTAAAAAGCAGAAAAGCTGGTTTAGATCGTAGTTTCAAAACCTCAGATGCTTACAGGCTCAAGCCAAAGGAGAGGGAGTTCCAGCTACTTCCACCAGCCAAATATGCACAAGGAGTCTCATGACTGCTTCAGTGCTTTGCATTATTTTTTTTAGTGGTTGTTGTTTTATTTAAAGGAGAACTCGTATTTAGTCACTGTGGTATTCGGAGGGGGGAGGGAAGGAGCAGGAGAGCACAATGGACTTTGTGCGGTTTTAGCAGAGCTTCGTTAAGAGAGAGAAGGGATTTAAGAACAAACAAACAAATCCTATAGAGTGTGGCAGAATTTGTTATTTTTAAGGGTAAAATGCCCTTCGCAGTTTTTCCCATTACGTCGCTCCTCCCAGGGAAAGGCAGGAAGTCACTATAACTAAAGGCTGCTTTGCTGCTTTTTTGTTTTTGTTTTTTGGAATTGGAATATTGAGCCGAAAGGGCCTGCAAAGACATTCACTGAATTCCAGGGAGCATTGCCTGCATGTGCTTGCTATTAATAGCTAGCTGTATTGTTTTGCTTATAAATAAAAAGGTATCCATTGTGGTTGGGGTCACCCTGTTAGTAATTCCTGAGACACAGTCAGATTATAGGCTCTCATCAAATAGCCAGCACTCATTACAGTCCTTTTGTCATCCTCACATATGAAAGTATTTCTTCTCCCACATTGCTATGTGTAGCCCCTTTGTCTAGTGAAGCTCATGTTGCTGTACTAAAAGACACTTTCCCTCTGGCCTGGAGGCACCATCCCTAGGGATAGAGGAGGACAGTTCAGTCCCTTTGGCCTGTTCAATCTGTGACCTCACTGCTGAGGCTGTTGACTAGGGGGACAAGTAGTGCCAGAGGTAACCTTTAGTGAGATAAATGGGTGTGCAATTGATTTTAAGCTTTATCCTTATCTGCAGAGGATAGTTCAGGCAGATATTGTGTGTGTGAGCCATGGGAAGGAAAGGGGAATTGTGCATGGTGAGGACTGGAATGATTTATGGAAAGGGAAAGATGGCAGTGTTTTAGGGCTTAGGAGATGCAGAGCAGACAGGATTCTTTCAGTGGGTAGAAGAAATCATCCCCTGGATTGTTAATGCAAGTGAATAATTTTCACTTTGCTAATGCATACATTGCATGATTTGCACACGCAGAGGGCTAATGTCTCTCCCAATTTCTCAGCAAAGATTTAATAGTGTGTGGCAGAGAGGCCTCACGTTACTGAGACTTTTGCTACTTTCACAAAACACACTAAATAGTATCTTTTGCTAGATCATTATAGAGGTCTCTAAATACATGTAAACTGCATTGGTCAAATAAATGAACAGGGTTCCTCTTGAGCAATATTATCTCTGATGCATTTTGTTTGCTTTCTCGCTAACTTGCAGTAGAACTCTTAGCAATTAATGTGGACTAGCAGAGTTCTACTATTAATAAAATTGCTAATACAGTTGATACATTTGACATGGCAATTATTAATTAAAAAATTAAAGATCAGTCTCTCATAAGCATCTCTAAACTCTTAGTACGTGTGAAGTAGAGCATTACCTAGGAAATGCTAGAACACTTATCTAAGCTAGAGGCGTGGTTCTCATACAGCTGGACTCTTAAATGTGGTAGGCTGGAGCTGTGGGTGTGGCAAGTGGTACTTGAGAGTAGAACACTGTTTTCAGTCCCCACATGCTTTGTACATACGCACAGGCACAGAAACAGACTCTCCAAACTCTGGGCGAAGGTGGGTTTTGCTGTTAGGCTATATGACCACTTAAAAGAAAGTGGAAAAGGAAAGATGCAGGAGATGGAAGGGTGGGTTTTGAGGAATGCACAGAAGAGAGCAAATCATAGACAGGAGACAGGGAAAATGAGAAGGCTTGAAATGAAAAATTAGGTAGATTTCAGCTGCTAGGTTATTACATTTTACTTTATTCATGTTGCTGCATATATTTTTTGTTCATTTTTCCAGGCAGTTTTATATTCTAATAATTTAAAATATGATGCATGTGCAGCCTACGTCAGGACTATTTCAACAGCAACCAAACACTGTTTCCTCTTCCCTCTTGCCTTTCAGACTCAATTTTCTTGGAACATACTATTAGGTTAATCTTTGGTCCATTAAGAGTTTAAACCTGTATTTCTCCTTCACAGACGCACCCTCACTGTTTCTGTGATGAATCCAGCTTTGATTTACTGTTACTATAGGAGGATAGTGATGTTTGTCGTGATTTACTCAGGAGTATCTCTGTAGGAGGCAGGGAAAACCCACGCTGACTTGAACTGTCCCAAAGTTTGCAGCTGTTCTGGCCTATGTCAGCAGGAATTTACCAACTAGCATTTCAGCAGAGGCATCTCTAGAAGTTACAGTGACACAGATGACCTGTCAAAGTGCCTGGGGTTTCTGTTTCAAAGCTGGTGTGAAAGCTGAGCAAAGAAGCTTAACTGAAGTCCAAAGCATTTTAATAAGTAAAAGGTTAAAAAACAAAAAAGCTCTTGTGAACACCTTGTTACTGTTTTGAATTACAGGATTCTCTATTGTTTAATCCATCTGTTACATGTCAAACTCTTTCCTCAGAGGGAAGGTACTCAGGATTCCAGGTTTCAGAGTAGCAGCCGTGTTAGTCTGTATCCGCAAAAAGAACAGGAGTACTTGTGGCACCTTAGAGACTAACAAATTTATTTGAGCATAAGCTTTCGTGGGCTACAGCATCCGAAGAAGTGGGCTGTAGCCCACGAAAACTTATGCTCAAATAAATTTGTTAGTCTCTAAGGGAAGTACTCCTGTTCTTTTTTCTGGATTCCAGGGTTTATGGAGGAATTATGCTAGGCTAAGAGCAGGTGCAGAAATGAAATAAAACAGTGTTCAATTAAATAGAGTATTGCATATTTCAGGAGGGTTCCACCAATCCCTGCACTCTGTTTAAACTTTGGTGGATACATTTTAACTAATTTTTCCTAATAAAAGTGGTGTAGTACTTTAGTGCTGGCATTCGACATTTGTTTCTTCACGGCAATTTGGCTGGAAGCTCATTTTTCTTTTGGTTGTATGGAAATGTCTGTTACAAAGTAGGTCACTGCAGTGTTAGAATTGTGCCAGGGCTGAGCCCTGTTAGTTCAAGAAGCAGCCCGGGAATGTCTCATGAGTGACATGAGTGTGTGTTTTCAAGGTAGGGCTGGAGTCCGGATAAATAAAATTGATCTTTCCCCCATAGGTTTTTCCTTTTGGTGTTGACACAAGGTTGTAATTTTGATACTGTTACAGTTATCCACTTGGAAGGGCCAAATACTGTTATGCATAGAAACACAAACAAGCACTTACATTAAACATTTTTGAAATCTGTGAACATTTTTAAAAACTTTTTTTTTTTTTTTTTTTCAAAACAGCAGAATGAGATTAAAAACATTTCATATAAAATCAGCTGGAGTTAAGAAGTCTCCTTGTAGAAAGAAAACTTCTGGGATTTTTCTTCTTTCTGGGGGGAAGAGAGGCAGCGGTTAATCTGCTATCCTCTACTCTGTGGTAACTGGTCATAAACCAAATGCCATCTAGCAACTCACTTTTTCTTGTAGATTTTTAAGCCTTTTTGTCGCTTAAATCCCTCTTGGGCCCTAACACCTATCCTTAGGGTTGGTCTACACTGAGGTTTTTGCCCTAGTTTAAACACTTGGATATGCATAAACACTAAAAGGTTACACTGATATAATCAAATAGTTTTTTCTTCAGTGCAAAGCAGAGTGTAGTCAAGCCCTTTGTTGCCAGGTGTCCAAGAAACTGTGCTGATTACACCACGTCTCAATCTTTGGAGCCAGATTTCACTCCTCCCCTCCCCCCCACAGGTGTTTAAATAAGGAGTACCGTATATACTCGATCATAAGCCGGTTTGTTTATAAGCCGACCCCCCCCCCCCCCAAGATGGATATTGGACGGGTTTTTATGACCCATTCATAAGTAGACCCTATAATTCAGGGGTCAGCAAACTTTGGCTCCCGAGCCATCAGGATAAGCTGCCGGTGGGCCGAGATGGTTTGTTTACCTCGAGTGTCCGCAGGCATGGAGATAAACCTAAGTAAACAAAGTGTTCCCAGCGCACCAGCTGCTTACCCTGACGGGCCGGGACAGCAAC